TTTTTATTAAATTATATTTGTTAATATTTATGATTATTATATATATTTTTTATTTAATTTTTTGTGATCATCTTTTAGAATTTTAATACATCCTTTTTATAATAATATTATTATAATTTTATTACTTTTCACTATATTTGCACCCTCTACTTTTTCATCCAAATAACAATTTACTCCTCCACTTACACCCTCCACCAATTTACACCCTCCTATAATTTAGGAATCAACTTGCACCTTTGGATTTGCACCTTCTTGTTGCCATACATAGTGAATACAACTTCACCTACCAAAGCACCAGAGAAAGATGAGAAGAAGGAAGGTTCAAAATCAAATCAAAATTTTTAAAACACAAACAGCTGCTTGTTGTCGCCTACTCCCCTCACCCCCACACTTTGTTTATTGATTTGAAAGGCAGCAGCTGATGCCCACATGATGCAAGCAAACCCTAACACTCTGTTTGGGAAGAGGGGTAAATGGGAGGAGGGTGCAAATGTGAGGGGTAAATACAGTTTCCAACACATTTGCACCTGTTTGGTTAATTTGGAACAGTAGGGGGGTGCAAAACGGGAGTGCAAATTTACTGTTTCGGCTTACCCCCCAAATTGGGGTGCAAGGGAAGGAAGGAAGAGAGGGGGAGGGGGAATTATGGATTTTTTTTCTTCTAATTGTGTTATATATAATTATATAATAATTAATATTATCAATTTCTTCTTTTTATAAATATCATTAATGTAAACATTATTCGGGGTTGACCATTTGACTCGGGAAACAAGTTTATCAATGTTCGTCAAGTCAAATCTAGATCTCTTGGTTGAATCGAATTTGCATTGAAAATTAAAAATTAGAGATACGAGGTGTTTGTGAAAAAGATAGAGAGAAATTGTTTGGTTAACTCAGTTTATTTGAATAAATAGTTAAAACTTACAAATTCGAACGTGTTTGACTAAGTTTGACAATTTAAAATTAAACTAGACACGAAAACCCTATATAGGATGACCAGTTACAAGTTGAGCTTCGAGTTTTGAGATCGCTCGATCAATGATTATACAATTGTCATAATTAATTATTATTTGAGAATTATTATATAATAACTATTTTTAGTAAAGTATATTTATTATTATATAATAATATTTATTTTATTATTTTGTGATAATATTTTAAAATTTTAAAATCTATTTTGTAATCTAAAATTTATTTTTAAAATCTATTTTAAAATAATATAATTACTTACTTTTCACTCTATTTGCACCCCCCTACTTTTTCATCCAAACAACAATTTACCCCTCCACTTACACCCCCCAGCAATTTTCACCCCCCAACAATTTACCCCTCAACTTGCACCCTCCTGCAATTTGCACCCCCCTTGTTGCCAAACAGAGCGTAAACCCTAGAAACAAACCCACACACAGAGAGAAAGACAAATTGGAATCCTTTCCCCTCTTCCCAAAGTTTCCCTCTTTTTTCATTTATTCATATTCACATTTAACAATGGGAAAGAAAAGAATCAATGAAAAGAACAAAAAGTGAATCATTATAAGCAAACAATTAAGTACTATGTAACAAATCAACATCATCATCATTACAAATTTACCATCATAATTTCCTCCATCCCATCCCATGCAGTTACTACTACTTTCTTCTTGATGTGACTGTCACACACAAAGTCAAACACACACCATTGACATTACCAACTCTCAACAAGATGAGTTCCCTCAAAAAAAAAAAACTCTCAACAAGATGAAGAACCAAGTTTTTCAACCCTTTTTCCACGACATTAATTGGTCAACTTGGTTCCATCACCTCGTGACCTACTACTGTTTCTTCTTATTGTTCAAATTTAGGGGTAATGATGCCATTGTCTTGGTTGGTGGTGATGATTCCTAATTCAAATTTCATTGTAATGCTTGAAAGCCACCTGTGGCCGGTGTGAATTCAACTCAAGTAGGTAGAAAAAAGTTCAAATGTGAAGTTTGATTCGTTCTTCTACAAATCCTCGCATACTAGAGTTGGTTTATGTTTCTAAAGTTTGCACAATTTTGACCGTTTTTATCAATAGAAATTGAGAGGTCGTTTGGATGAGGGATTTCACCCAAATCTCTCATCCACCGGAATTCAATCAAAATTCCGATTAGAAATTGCTTTGAAAACAAGTCATTTCATAGGTGTTGAGGTTTGGAAACCTTCAAGTTTCGGATTTCAAAATAACTTGCTCTTTCGACTATTTTGAAATCCCTCATTATCTTCTTTTTCTTCTAATTTTAACCTTCTAATATTTTCTAAAATTTAAAACTACCCTTACTCTCATTGGCGAACACATCGTCCACCTTCCTCATCTTCCACCAGCGAACAGTCGAGCTTCCCTTTCCGCATACCAGATCACTGCTAATGGATAGCCATCATCGACGGCGGCTAAGCTTCATCTTCTTACCCCACCCGCCGATCCTATATTTTCAGACTCCCAATCTACTAGGGAAAATGTGAAATTTGTATTAGACTATGATCTGACTAATTTATCTGCTACGACAGTAGATAAACATTTGGCCCAAATGCAGGGTTTTTTTTAATGAAAATCCAAATCTATAAACAAATAAGTTATTTAGTCCAAATCACACATGATAATGGATTTTTAGTTGAGGTACTTGGAACCCAATCCCTCATATCCAAAACCCCCATCCAAACGAACTCTAAGAGTTGTCATGAATCTTTTTGAATTGAATATTCTAATACAAATTGTCTCAATCACTCAAGTTGTTAGGATGGATCGAACTGTGGGCTTTCTACTATTTTCTTATAGATGATACATGCCAAACTACGTATTTTTTCTAATAACATACTACTATCATGACAAAAATGATAAATATTTTACCTTAATTTTGACGAAGAGTCTCGTAATAAGGGAAAAGATTCTAAAATTTTCATTGAAAATGAAGGGTATGCTAGCAACCTATGTGTACAGATAAAACAACATTTATTAAGCATATAAAATTTGGTTGGGGGGGATTCAAAAATTGAACTCATAGTGACACCAGCCGAACTCGTTGAACAACCTAGTAATTAGGATGGCCTCGTACGTTGGGCTCCCAAACAATAATTAGTGTTTGTTTATGAAAACTTTCATGGGAAAAATCCAAAATCAGCCATTCCTTTCCCATGTTTTGGGCTTATGGCAAATGTTTGTCCTTCACAATAATTGAGGAAGGAGGACTGGGGACCATAATTAACATTTAACAACAACCGAATTAAGAAGCATAATAATTAGGAGAATGAGTTGTTTTGCAAGCCAAGTAACTACAAGGAAGCACCATCATCATTCACCTTCCCAAAATCTCAGAAACCGAGTAGGAAAGAGCGTGCAAATTTCACGAATTTGATGAATTATGTACATTGATATCGTTGGATTGATACTCTTTTACATTTGTGAATGTTAAATAAACATGGTAACATTTTCTTTTAAACATCGTCAACGATAAATGAGACAATCCTAAGATATCAACTTCTTGGTATGCCAATCCTTATCGGCATGGTACCGAATTGGGATTTTCAGTGTGATCACATGCAACACATTCCTTAGCTTTGCTCCAAGACAAAACCGGTTTTTGCAAAAACCCATAGAAGGAGGGGATAGAGATGGAGATTGGTGAGCACATGGGCGGGCGCAGCATCAATGATTTTATTTTTGCTTCAGTCACCTCATCTATCTATTTTTGTTTTTGTTTTTGTTTTTGTTTTTGTTTTTGGAATCCAATTGCCCTCTCTACTTTGATACATCATACTCAATATGGACTTGGCCTTACATATACATCATAGTGTGCAAAATTTGAAACCCACATCAATCCAAAGGTTTCCCTCCATTTTTGTGTATATAAGGTATCAAACAATAATCAAGCATCTCACATGGTTAATGGTACTACAATAGTGTAGTAACTATTCAACAATTTCAAGGTATAAGGTTTGAGTCGTAAATAGACGGTATGTTGATTTTTCTTGGATTTTTTTCCAGAAATACCACTGTGTAAAAAAAAATTACAAAAATATCACCTAACCCAAAAAAATTTCAAATATACCACCATTATTTGAAAACCGCCACGTGGGGAGGCGGTTTTAGAGAGTACCGCATATTGGAGTGGCGGTTTAAATTATTTGAAAAAACCGTCACATGAAGCGACAATTTAGTGGCCGACCTAGAAAAAACCGCCTGTTGACAGAGCGGTTCTACGTAGACAATAGAAACAGCTCCTTCAACAGACGGTTTGTCTTGTCGACACACAAACCACACCTCTCCCAGCGGTTTGTGTGTCGTCCCCATTCCCCCGATATCCGACATGTCGGCATGCAGAGGTTTTAGACGTCGGGGCTGCATGCCAGATGAAAACTGCACCCTTCCCTTGCGGTTTTTAGTGGTCATTTTGCTATAAAAGACAGCCCCGGGAACCTCAACTCTTCACCCTTCTCCTTATTCTTCTTCAAATTTCTTTTGTGCAGCCTACTTTATTTGAGTTTTTGCGATTAACGTTACTTCGTAAATTTGTTTTGTATTACTTTTTATTGTGATTTGTGATTTTTATGGTATTAAGTATTAACTGAGTTACGATTTTACTGCAGATGACATTTCACAAAACTCGCTCCCTCCAGCCACGGTTTGCGTATTTCAAGACGAGAAACCGCCTCTCCACCTGCGGTTCTTGATCCCTGACGCAGATCGTTGACATGGCGCGCGGTCCGCACTTGGATCGCTCCGTGATCCGACGGTTCTAAAGACAACTGCTTCCCTCGGCGGTTTGTTGGCTGTCCTAGCAAAAACCGCTCCCTCCCGCCAACCACGATTTGCGTTTTCCAAGACGAGAAACCGCTCCCTCCACCTATGATTCTTGATTCCTGACGCAGATCGTTAACATGGCGCGTTGTCGCCCTTGGATCGCTCCGTGATCCGACAGTTCTAAAGACAGCCGCTTCCCTAGGCAATTTGTGGGCTGTCCTAGCAAAAACAGCTCCCTCACGACGCATTTCTTTTGTGATTTGTAGGATACAGCTCCAACATTAATGGTGATATTTATGTAGGACTATATTCAATCACTAATCTGGTGACCGTTACAGTTTTCTCCTTTGTTAATCAATCTACCATCACTTCTCTAATGATTAAAAGCCTAATTAACAATTATGTAATAAAATCTCCTTAATTGGGTGCCTCTGCAAATTTCTACCATCTCCTCTCTAACTGTAAAACCTCCTTTTCCCTACCGAAGAAATCCGACGACCGATCAAGCTTCCCCATCACCGCATTCTTGAAATTAATGGCGTCCTGCGCTTGCGAACACGACCTCTGCATCCTCACCCCGCTCAAACTGGTCCTCGATTCTAGCAACTCGTTCAAAGAAACCCTCTTCTTCCCCGTCCCCGGCCCCGCCGCCGACGCCGGCGGCTCCGGCCTCTGTTTCGGTGCGCTGTAGGACCTCAATTTCGCCCTGAACGACTGCGTGTTCGCCATGTAGTTTGGGTAGTAGCCACCGTACGGCGACCGGAAGAAATTCTCCCCGCCGCAGATGCTCTTCGCCGGGGTCAACGGCGCAGGCGCGTTGACTCCCCCGTCTCCGCCGCCGTCGCCGCCGCAGCACCCTCCAACGCCGCCTTGCCCCGGCGTCAGAAACCGAGGAGTGCTGTGCGCCGTGGAGAATCTGCACTCGTCGCCGGTCAATCCCCAGTCGGAAGAAGGGTAGTCTTTGTGGAAGTTCCGGTGATCGGGGATCGACAGCCGGGGAGGGTAGTGCACAATCATCGGCGGCGGAGGGTCTTCACCGAAATCGGAAACAGAGGAACCCGTGTTTGTAGTTGTACCTCGTCGAGATCTGGACCTGGGCCTGCTCCCTGTATCCATCTCCACGATCTTCGGCGTATCGTCGGCGACAGCCAGATTGCTGGCGCCGTCAAATATCACTCCGCTGTCTAGCGGAGCAGAGAGCCTCCGACTATGGTGGGTTGACGCCGTATCATCAATTCTCATCTCGTCAAATCTCTCCTGAAAGAACAAACAACCCAATTAATTGAATTAACTTGAAAATCTCTTCTATGTATGAGAAATTTGCGACATTTTAGTTTTACCATTGATTTCCGAGCTCGAATTTCCATTCGATTCCGAGCAGCTACTCTCTGAGACCTAACAGCGGCTTGAGCCCTGATCAACGCTTGCATACTGTGAAGAGTCGCCGCCGCTTGTTTCCTCACTAAATAACCTCTCACATGGGCCTGTAATTTCACCAATCCTTTCAAAGCTCTCAAAGCCTTCCTCGCCTGCAAAACCCCCCAAATAAAAACAGAGCTTCACTACCGTGAGTAAAATTTTTTTTTTTTAAAAAAAACAGAGGTTTAGGCAAATTCGTTCTAACAGAGCATGATCAATGGCACTCACCAAATAACCTCTGAAAACGGTTTGAATCCTGACAGCAGCCCATCGTTCGTGGCTGCCACCGCCGAACATCGTTCCCCTTCCGTGGCTAGTGAGCCTGACGACAGCCACGGCCGCCTGAGCAGCAGCCACCGCAGCATCCGCCGCCGCAGCGGTGGCGGCAGCAACCGCAATGGCGTGCTTGCTCTGCTCCTTCTCCGTCTGGGAGTAATAAGACTTCAACCAAGCAGCTTCCGCCGGAGAAATGTTAGGCGGGATGGTTGCCGGGTTTCGACACAACGACTCGCCGGAATCCCTACCCGAATGCCCGAATCCGCCGCACATCCATGTCCGCTTCTCTTTCCCCTCACTGGCGGTTGGTTTTATCCCAAACAAGCTCTTGATCCACCTAGCAGCTTTACCCATCTTTTTTTGTCTCTCCTAGTTCTTGCCCCTTTGTAAGAACAGGGGGAGAGCCAGAGGGAAAGGAGAAACAGAGAGAATGAAGGCAGAGAACCCAGAAAGAAAGTGGGTTACTTACACGGAGAGGGGCAAAGGGTCAAAAAAGGAACCACCATGAAAGCGGGAGCGGAAAAAGGGAAGCCGTTTTGGGGAGTTGGAAAGAACGAAGCAGAGGATGGTTATAATAGCTTTTGTAACAGCTGAGAGAAGGGGGAAAAGCGGCAATGGTTTTTTGAAAAGACGAAAGGGGAACACTGAACATAATAAAGAAAGGATTCTGTAAGGAGAGGGGGAAGAGTGAAAATCTGAAGGGAAGGGGACAAAAAAAACAGGGGACTCTGTGGAGATGCAGAGGTTATGGACTTATGGTATTTAATAACGGAAAGTTTGAAACTTTAGGATGGAAAGGAAGGAGTTACTGTGGCTGTGTTAGGGAGGAGAGAACAGATGAAGGAGCCAACCCCACGGGCACGAGAGACCGAGGTAAAGCTAAGGAAGAAGATCGTGTAACTGGATGAGTTAATTGTGAATGTAGTATTTGTAGAGTCAAATAACTCATTTATTATTTATGTGATATTTCAGTGTTAATTCAATGGTAATTGAAATAAAGTATCTCATTTGGTTGAACCATGCAAATGTGGTATTCGACATATGGTATTTGGTAAAAGCAGAGTGATAAAACGAGTTATTTCGAAATGACACATGAGTTTAAGTTATTTCAAATAACTCATTTTGATTATTTGTAAATAACTCACTGTCCAAATAACTCATTTCAGTAAAACGTTACCAAACGAGTTATTTGTACCCAAAAAACAGTAAAATGTGAGTTATTTGAACTCAAATAACTCATACAAATACTCCATCCAAACAACCCCTAAATATAAAGTATCAATTATTTATGTAACAATAACACGAAGAATCAGATTCCCAAAAGATGGCCGGATGTGAAGAGAGAAAAGAACAAATGAATTGTAAATTGTCAATGGTGGTTTACCTTGGTAGTGACAATTTTAAACTGGTTCATACTATTTGATTTGCTCTGATCTATTAGGAATGAAAATGTGTATTGTTTCTGATATGTCTTTGTCCTATCTTGTTCTCGATTTGTTTTATTATGATTTGTACCAATACTTATATGTATTTTTCTTTTTTTATCTTTATAAAACTATATTTTAATCCTAAGGAAATTTAAAGACCATTTCTTTCAATTATTTAGTCTTAATTAATCATTATACGGTATTTCTCATTGATTTGCGAAATGTTTTCTCTAGCTATTCTTGCACAATATATTATAAGTGAGACATACATGAACCTTTATCATATATGTATGTTAGATTTGCTTCTCCCTCCAATATGCTATTTGCAATGATGATCCAATATGAACGAGAGAACCAACAAGAGGATACTAATTAGTGTGGCTATCTATTATGATCGTTTTTGTTTTTCCAAGTTTATTTTCTTTTAACAGATAAATGATTGGTTAAAATAAAAATATATATATGTCGCATATTCAAATGGTTGATTCTATGCCATGTCAGTAAAATAATTTGAGTTATAAGTATAATATGTCCCTATATTATGTATTTTTTTTTCAAACATTCCATTCTACTACTATATTTAACATCAAATATAACCTCGTACTTTGGAAAAATTATCAAACATACTCTTCAGTTAAGATTTCCATCCAACAATCTTCAACCACAGTCGAACCGTGGTTAGGACGACACGACCTATACAAAAATGCAAGGGGAAATGTCATTTTTACCCCTCCATTTAATTGTCAGGGGTAATGAGCTACGCAATGAAAAGAATATTAAAGTGAAATTATTAAGAATATTAGGGATATAATAGAGGGGATCTATTATACATATAAATCAAATAATTTCATGTCGACAATAATTTCACTATAGTAGGATCAACCCAATGTTTGATCAATTAAAAAGTTAAACGGTTTTATTATATATTTTATTTTATTTTTGAAAATTTTAAATCAAATATCTAATTATTATATTATTTTAATAAAAGAAAAAGCAAGAAAACAATGACTTTCGTTAGCCAGCCTGGAGTCTGTTATTGCCAAAGTTGTCAAACCGGTTTAAGTCATTGAGCCGCTCAAACAAGTGGTTTGAGGTTTAATGTTCTGATTGGGGTCTGACCGGTTTGAGCCGTTTTAGATGTTTTCTAAATATATATACAAATAAGGTAGTAATTAAAGATTTGATGACTGAAAATAAAATTTATCTTACATATATCTATTAAAAACTTATTTTCCACAAAATAAATCTACCTAACCTTCATGATCCAATCACCATTTCCCTTCCTTCATTCCTCTCCGCTCTTCCCCCTCTCTTCTTCTCCCTCTTTAGGGGTCAGACCAGTGGGCTTTCTGGACGCCGTTTTGAAGCTCGACACGGGTCGGACCGGGGGTTCGTTAGGGGGTGCAGATAGTATAACAACACCTTAAGTGTTGTTACCGTAACAACAAATCTAACTAAGGGTAAAAGAGTAAATGAACAAAATACAGAAAAAGAAAATTGAATTATAACGCAAAAAGCGACGGTTAGAAACTCTCGACTCTGCTCTCCCACTCTCTGCCTCCTCTGACCTAGAAGACCTCCGACTCTGTCCATCCCCAGCCTCCGTCGGAGCTTTGTCCTTCACAACAACTGCAACAGCGGCGGCAGGCAAAATCGAGTTCATCGGGCTCGACCAACCTCCAACCTCACCGATGTTGCGACACTCTTCCATGCCAGATCTCGTCTCTCTTCATTTTCTGTTTTCGATTCTTCTTCATTGACGGCTAATCAAGATGGTGGCGGAGAGGGTGGTGTTCTTCGGAGCTCGAATCCTGGCACTCTGCAATGCAGATCCCGTTTCTCCTCCGCTGCCTCGCTTCTTCTGTTGTCGATTGTTCTTCATCAACGAGAAATCAAGCTGGTGTGGAGAAAGTCTAATTGACCGTGTTGGAGTTGGTCGGGAGTCGACAGAGGTTTTGATGGATAGATGGTTGAATGCATGTGGCCCTCACATAAATGAAATCTTTCTGGAAAGGTTGGTTTCTGTCTTCTAATCAAATTCTTCTTTTGGATCTGCTTTGATTCGTTCCAACCCGTATGGGATGGATGATGGTTAATTTGATTGCTCTGTTGGCTTTAAAAAGAGGTTTAGGGAAGAATTGAATTGGATACGAAAACTCGATAGTGATTTGTGGATGGGAAGAGGGAAATTCGTGAAGATCCAGCTTATGTAAGCAGTGGTTGTGAATGTGAGGCTAGTTTGAAGAGACATGAGATTGATTGTATGACTTTTATTATGAACAGTGTTGGTAGAGTGACTATTGAACTATTTATTAGATGGATTTGAATGAGACTCTAAGTTTTTCTTGTAATTGAATTGCCCTTCTTTATTGAATTCGATTATGGTATTGAATTATCTTTGAGAAAATGACAAATCCCCTAACGACATTTTTGCTCATGTTTCCGAACTTTTGAATACTTATTGTTCACAAACAATACTAGAAACCTCTTAATGCAGACCACAAAAACTATAAAGCAAACCACAAAAAGCATACCAGAAATCACCTAATGCATACTATAAATCGCCTAATACATATCAGAAACCTCATAAAGCAAACCACAAATATTTCTAAAGCTCACCAGAAACCTTCTTATGGAAACCACAAACGTGATAAAAAAAACCACAAAAAGTATACCAGAAACACCCTAATGCATACCACAAATCCACTAAAACATACTAGAAACCCCACAAAGCAAACCACAAATCCATTAAAACAAATAAAAAATTCCACAAATCAAACCATACAATTTTCGAAAGCACACCATAAACTTCTTAATGCAAACCAGAAACACAATAAAGCAAACTAGAAACCTCCTAATACATACCACAAATTCCCTAAATCAAACCACAAACTTCACAAAGCAAACCACAACATTTGCGAAAGCACACCAGAAACCTCCTAATGCAAACCACAAACACAGTAAATCAAACCACAAAAAAGCAAACCGGAAACGTCCTAATGCAGACCACAAAAATATTAAAACAAACCAGAAACCCCTCAAAACAAACCACAAAATTTTTGAAAGCGCACCAGAAACTTCTCAATGCAAACTAGAAACACGATAAAGCAAACCACAAAAGGCATACAAAAATATGAGAAACCAAACCATAAATCTCACAATGCAGACCATAACATCCGGTGTCGTTGACCGATGACCAAACTCCGATGATCGTCAGTGACCAGATTCCGACGCCGATAGGCATATTCCGGCCCCGATGACTAGATTCCGACACTGGTAAGCATATTCCGACCACAGTGAGCATATTCCGGCGATGGTGAGCATATTCCGACGACAAAATAGCATATTCTGGCGATAAAAAGTATATTCCAGTGACTGGCGACCAGTTTCCGGCGACCAAAATTTTGGGCAGAAAATAAAAAAATATTTATTGTTTGTTATTATTATTTAAACATATTTTTCATAATGATAATTATACTCCTGCTTTGATTTTATACTATGTCAACTCCGCTAATTATCAGAACCCTAACTTCCTATTGATTGGAGACTAGTGTTGTTACAATAACAACACAAGGGGTGTTATCACACTTTCTAGCCCCCGGGGTTTAACATCCTTGATTATTGCTTTCTGGAGCGACGTGTCGCCCATCAGAAAATAAAGAAGATACCTGAGGCCAGAGGGTCCTCTTTGTTTCTGACATCCTCGTGATGCCCCAACTTCGGTCTTTGTTTTTTTAGACAAATTTCATTTCATGGCCAAAAGGAAGAGGAAAAAACCTTTGCGGGTTACCTTCTCGAGCTCCCTATTTTCAGAAAGGTTTTCTCCACAGAATTGCACTAATTCATGTTCCCATGACACTCAGATTTTTTTTATAACAACAATAATTATTCGTTCAGCTACCTCTTCTGCATACATTTGGACTATCTAGAGATTAATTAGTAAAAAGTAATGAGTTATAGGTATAATATGCCTCTCTATTATGATGTTTTATCAAACATGTCTCTTTACTATTTTTTACATCAAACATGCCCCTTTACTTTGTAAAAATTATCAAACATGCACTTTTGTTAAAATTTTCATCCAAAAACCGTTAACCAACGCCGAACTTTGGTTTGGGCGACACAAATGTCTACATTAATATCTCTAATAATTTCATTTTTAGAATTTTTTGGTTCTTTTGTAATAGCCAAATCATTCAATTCATTTCACTTTGAAGAGACCCAAAGAAATAAAATGGGGGACAAAACTGATATTTTCCCTCCCATTTGCTGATGTCGAGTTGTCTAAATCTCAATTCAATCATGATTGACGATTTTTTCATTGGAAATTTT